TCTCTCCCTCTGCTGTTGTACTTTCTCCACCCCTCTGGCAGTCAGCGCTGTGAGGGAGGGAGGAGGGAGGGATAGGAGGGAAGGCGAGGAAAGGGAAGGAGGGAGGCCAGACCACCCGGCTCTCATGGCAGGGCTGAGTGTTTACATTGCCGTGGCTCACTCTGTAATACATCTGGCATTCTGAGGCCACTCTCTGCAGCCAGGGACGGGGGAGTGGGGTTGGTGGTGGGGGCTCGGGTAAAGAGAGAGACCTTTCTGGCAGAGGGGGAAAGCGAGGGATAGAGGAGAGAGAGAGGGAGAGGTAGAAGGAGGAGGAAAAGCCTCTCCACGGTCTCTTGTGGTCGGTCATTCGCAGGGCTCTGGTTTTTGAATAAGAGCACGTAAAAAAAAAAAAACGCTAAAAGTAAACAGAGAGCTTGGAGGCATCTCGGGATGTCGTGCACACGCGCGCTGCCATTTGTTTCAAAAGTTATCTAAACTTGACATTCGCTAGGTAGGCGCAATACACACAACACTGCTTTGAGGGAGAGCCGGCCTGAGAAAACAGCGCTGCAACCAGACTGTGTACAGTACCAGAGGCGCAATGTTTCCCCACACTAAATCCCTCACCGGCAGGCCTGCACTTTTCATCAACTCGTAAAGTTTAACACAACACGCTGGAATGTTTTTCCTTCTACAGAGCTTTAATCCGGTTTGTAGTCAACGGATAGACACAAACCTAATTGAGGCCAGTTTTGAATGCGTAAAAAAAAAAAACGTACAAAAAATTGTGCAAGCTCGCATTTGTGTGCGACTGTGCGGATGCAGAGGGATAGGCGGGTGACTTTATGCAGTGGGTTCTGTGCAAAACTAGGAACGAATATTGGGTGTGGGCGCATGTTGCGTGTGTGTTTGATTACTTGCGGCTGCTGAATGAAAGCAGTTTGGAGATGGAGTGTGAGGGACGGAGTGGAAGAAAGAGGAGGAAAACGAATGAATAAAGAGGAGGAGTAGCCTGCTGTGCCAGCCCTGGTCCATCACCTACTCACTCGCAGAACCAGAACGCAAAGCCTCTCTGCCGATGTGTGTGTGTGTGTGTGTGTTCATGCGTGTACCAATGCTGCCATACACATCAAAAGCTGGATAATTCAATCACGCAAACCACAATCCTCTCAGTGGGGACGCTGCATTAAGGGCTGTCCTCCTCCTCCTCCTCCTCCTCGTCCACAAGAAAGGATGTCAGGGCTTCTTCCGCATGCAGTTAACATTATATAGTTCCCCTCTCTCCGCTGGCATTACCAGCAAAACAACAAAACAACCACCAACTCTGTCAACTCAGCTCTTAATCACACTGGATGCGAAACAGACATCAGAGCGTGGGAGTTGCTTGAGGAAGACAAACCTTTGGTCACATCAGACTGGATTCTGAAACCTTAAATCGGGTTTAGGATGCGAAGAAAACTAGATCTGCCTCGTCTGTTACATATTGATTGACTGTGAATGGCCGCCACTCTTTTTCTCAACACATATCGTGGCCTTGCAGCCGGAATGATGACTTGCATTAATGTGGAGGTTGACCATCTGAGGCAGCATAATTACACAGACAATCGGAGATTAAAGCAAGAAATGACGTCCTTACCAGTGCCCTCTGCTGGAGGACAGCTGACAAAAGGTGTCGACGCGGGAAAACAACGCAGACTCTCCTAAAAACATCTGGCTCGGCGAGATGCTCTCATAGCCGCGGACACGAACACGTAGAGGCCGCGTGTACGGGACACAAGCAAAGCCTGGTGACAGCTGCGACTTCTGATGCATTCTCCTCACCCCTCCCATCCTCCACCCCCCCCCCCCTCCCTCCCTCCATCCTCTGCTGCAAGTCTTCACTCTGCACCCAGGCCACAGGGTGAGTATCAGGTGAGGTTTTAAATAGCGGGGCCTCCACGCAATGACCTCAGGGTCTCTGGGGTCTACCCCCGTGGCCCCTGGCCTCTACACTTATGTCCCCCAAAGAAAGCGCTGCGGGACCTGGGGGGGGGCCTCCCCAAGGTTTCCAGCCCTGCGCCTCGGCCCGGACAATAAATCTGCAGACCGTAGACTCGTTTCACCTCGAAAAATCGCTCACGCGCATCGGCGGCGTCTGCGGGTGAACGCGCGCTACCGGCCCCCCCCGCCGAGGCTTCAGGCTAACAGCGACTCCGCGGCCCGAGCTTCCACCTCATCAGACCGCCTCGGAGCTTGAGCGTCGAAAGCCCCGTTTCCAAAAGGTTCTCCGGCGCTGTGCCTTCGCTCACCCATCAACACAGACCCTCAGCTCCTCCGTCAGCAGCAGAAACCAGGAGGAAGGAGCGAGGGGGGCCGTCCTACAGGAAGGGCCAATGTTTACGCGACATTGTTTTAATTAAAGGCAGGCGACGCAGCTATTTTCTTTACAATTTGGCCTGAGCCCAGAACGCCAGTGAATGGCTCCGTTTTCCATTTGTTGCTTGAGGTTAATCGTCGAATCTACAGTCGTCTGCGATCTGAAGTCAAATGCCGGCCGTTGTAGGCGAGCGGTCATCGGTCAGCGGACATTGGTTAAAGAACACCGACGAGGGGCTGGAGAACACAATACTACAACTTCCTGTTTGAGCCAATGGCTTCCTGTGAGGATCATAAATGCCATTGTGGATGCCGCTTGCCCAAAACACACGCCGCTATCATCTATACGTGGTCAAACCCCCATACATCCTCGTGGGTTTGACACAATTGCCTCTTTGTGCCGGCGAGCGTCTCACTCCCAATTGCTCTCTGTCGCTTTGTCTAATAAACAGAACTTCCTGTGTCTGAGTGTTTATAAACAGTGCTGAGTGAGCGCTGCGAGAAGACTCAATCCCTCCGAAAGCTGCGGAACGTGACGGCGCGCAGAATAAACATGCCAGTCAGCGACGGGTTCAGGGCAGCTAATGGCGGTCTGCCGCGCGGACCCCGGCACCGGCAGCTGGCAGGTGACGACAGACGCGACGCGAGATCACCAAGAGAAACGCAGCTCTGGTCCGTTGTGAAGGGTTTGAGAGGTCTCGCGTGAGCCGGGCGTGTTTTATGTGTGCGCTGGCGTGAGCGTGAGCGTGCGTGCGTGCGTCCACAGGCCACACAGCTTCCAGGCGGGGTCGTCCGCGGGTCGCCTGCGGAGGGCAGTTCCAAATGAAACATAAACAGCCGCTCTGTCCTCTTTTTCCCCTCAGACGATGGGCCAGTCCTCCAGCACGGCCCAGCACAGCGGTCCACGGCGCAGGCAGAACTGATCTATCCCTCAGCTGTGCAGTCTAGTCTAAACAAACAGATTCTTCCTTATCATCTTCTGGAAACCCCTCACTACCGGAACGGAAGGGAACCAATGCAGCCCGGCCTCTTTGTCAGTGTGTGTGTGTGTGTGTGTGTGAGCAGGTCTCAGTGGATTGGCATCACACAGTGCGAGACCGAGTTGTAGACGTCTACCAAAGGTTAATAGGCTTTGTTTAACATTAAGCTGTCCTGTTGTAACACTATGCAAACTCTATGCTGTTACTTGGGTGGAACACTAAAGAGTAAAGGGAAGCAAAGAGAAAGGATATTTAATAATTTAATCAGCAGTTATGCCAGTCAAATTGATTTAAATGCCAAAGCTAATTTTTTTATTAAATCCCCTCAAATCATTTAGTCCGAAAAGCAGATTAGTACCAATACCAACAACCACGGCCTAAATGAATTGTTTTCCTTCTGTTTGGAACACAGAAGAAATGTATTGTGAAAAGGTTTGCAGATTGTTGCTTCATGAAGCAAAGAAACCGTCATGACAATTACAATATATTTCAATGGGGGGTCGGGGGGGTGTTAAAGTGCCACTAAGCATTGGCATTGTGCACAATGTACTTCGGTGTTGTCCCGTCACCAGTCTATCATCACATCACATGAGGTGTGAAAACAAGAGCCACCATCGACAGTCCCGTCCCGAGGAGGCTCTCCTCCACCCAAACCTGAGCCCACTGCGCCTGCGCCACAGATTAGAAGAACACGCTGCCGGTCAGACCCCTGCAGCAGCACGCAAGGAGAGAACAGCCAACCCGGGGAGGAGGTGGGGTGTTTGGTCCATCTGCTAGCGCTTGATCTTGTGAGCCATGAGTTGTTGTTTTTTTTTTTATCTTGAGGCAGCGAAAAAGGGGTAATATGGGATGAAACCAGTAAAAAAGGCCACCGCGCAAAACATTACAACAACCACCGTATTCTTCCTTTTTTTTGTGACCAAATGAAAACACTCAGCAGAAAATCTGCTCCTCCATTCATGACTCGTACAGCCGACTCCAGCCCCTAAGTGCAGGAATGTGGATCAAAGGAAAGGGAAAAAGCACAGCTCCTTACCCTTACACCCCTCCCTCCCCACCCATGCACCACCAATACGCGCAGTCCCCCTTTTTTTTCCTGCTTCAGTCTCCATATGTTGTTATTGAAAAAAGAAAAACATCAACAACAACAGAGTGAGTGGCCTATCCACTCCACCAACGCCGGCTCCTGTCCTCGCTCCGCTTTTTCCCTGCAGCCGGGGACAAATCTTTTTGGAAAGTTGAGAGCTGTCCAAAACGGGACCACACACAGTCTCTGAGCATTCGACTGCTGGGGGCAGGCAGACACACACTCACACACTCTCACAAAATGGCGGCTTTGACAAAAATTTCCTCAACCCCCGAAGCTGCTTTATGAACTTAATTACGAGCCTAATTCTGAGAGCAGCTCCAGTCGCCCCTTTCACAGCTTGCGCGTGAATCCGAACGCGGTTTGGGGTACCAGAAGAAGCTTAAATTCAGCAGATGAATTAAATTATTTTCCCTTGTTCCCTTGGCCCCTTGCCAGGACCCAAACAATAAACAATCCCCCCGGCTGGTTGAGTAGCACCGACACAACTCGCTTTTCTTCTTCGAAAAAAAGAACACGCCTGGCATCCAGAATTCAAACAAATAGCACAGGTGATGGTGTTAAAAACAGCGAATGGTACATCAGAAGGGACTTACCTTCCACCCAGAGTTTCTCCACGTCCGTCTCCAAATTAGCTGCCTTTAGGCCCACGGCGAAAGCTCCGAAAATCATAAGGCCCACGACCAAAAACTTCCCGCAGTTCTTTTGTATGTAACAGCCCAGCCTGAATAAAAGTCTCTGGAACTTCGCTCTCAGCCAAAGAGGTGCTTTCCTCCCCGTCGCCTTCCCCTACAACGAGACAAGAGTCCGGACGTTACTGTCAATTCAAAGCACAGAAACATTGCAGTTACCTGGACAGGTAACCCTGTAGGGCTTGAGGAGAAGAGGTTTGATTGTTAGACAGGCCGAGAAATGACAACCACGGGTGGACCCCCCAGCGTTTTAGTGTCAAAGAGCCGTCACATCATTTGACACGAGGAACTTCATCGCAGAAGACTGACGGCTGTGAGTCGCTTCAGCATTGGAAACACGCCCGTGGCAGGGACATGAAGACAGGAGCTGCGATCAAGAGTTCGAAACGCACTCATCTGCCGAGGACCTGCGAGCGAGGCCGCCGAGGACTCCCCCCCCCCCGGGGTCAGAACCACGGGTTCTGTCACATCGGTAACACGTGTGAACCGTGCCAAAGGGAGGAGACCTTCGTCCCGTCGAGGTCACGCGCGCACAGTCACACAGTCTGGTCCTTTTCTGTCATTCCGCTGCTACAGCGAAGGAGGTTTATGAAGATGCCAATTTAGACCGACTGACATCGAGGAGCCCCGGGTTCATCCGCAATAAGCTTCCCCCGGTGGGTGGAGGTGAAAGACACTGTTATAGGTGGCCTTCCTGTGACACTGTTTTACACAGAGACATCCGTATTTAAATATATATATATATATATATATATACTGAAACCCTTTGACTGCATAATCATGCTGTAACATGTAGTCCAGCACGTTTAATACGACACACACAGACACATCACACCATGATAATAAATACCCCGAAAAATACAAATACCACCACACACACATCCAACTCCCACCCCCGGCGCCCTGAGACATCACTGGGGGGGTCTCACGATATTTGTGAACGGAAGAATGCAGCCACATGTTATGAATGTATATACACACACACACACACACACACACACACACACACACATAATTTGGATTTACACCTCGGACAGCCAGTTTAGACACTGCCACACACACACACACACACACACACCGCTGGAGGAAGCGGCGTGTCGTCTTGGGACCGTTAGAGTTCGGGATGCGGCACCGAGTGCGCGACTGCAAACTCGGTGCCGCATCCCGAACAAAACAAAAACAGAAGCCGGTTCCGCACGAGACGTGTGTAGATGTTGCACAATCCGATTCAGCTCTCTGCAACCTTGCCTCGCCGCCCGGGGTCCAACACCACCACCACCACCCCTGCCCGTCCCGTTACCTATGGCAGCGACTGAACATGGTTTGGCCACCTTTTCTCTTTTTTTTTGTTTGTCTGATCGGGGGGGGGATACAATGAAACCAGCGCCACGGAGGTTTAAGGTGTTAAAATAAGCACCTGGGTGATTTGCTCCAAAGCAAAGCCCGCGTCGCAGTAACTCGGCCGCTGCAAATACTCCAAATCCAGCGGTGCGTTGCGGGCAGAGTCACCCCGGTTCCTCCGCGTTATCCTCGGCCGATCGGGGTCCCTGTTTTCCTGCTCGGAAGGCGCATTAGCGGCCGAGGCCATGTTGCGGGGACTGCGAGACCGTTTCCCACTTTATAGTATCTCCCCGAAAGCGCGCAGCGATATCCCAAGGCAACAGAGTTTCACTCTCGGAGATCTCACACCCGCCAAGTGGGACTTCATACTCCTGTCGGAGACTGCGAGTCAAAGTCTGCGCCTTCCATCCCAACATTTCGCGATCCGGAGGGTCTCCGCCGCTTTCACCGCATTCGCCGCGTCTCTCGGAGAAATAGTGAAACAAGAAGAAGGAGGAGAAGGAGCGGGGTTCTCTTCAAAAGGGGAAGTGCGCGCAGTGGTTCCCATACACGAGTCGTCGGGTGAGGAACCTCGATGGTCGTTGCATTCTGGTGAGATCTACGTGGTCTTCCCCCTGGGCCGCGCGTCACGGCCAGCTCTGAGATTCAATAGAAGAGGAGAAAAAGACCTCTCTCCCATTTGGAGGCAGGAGGAGGAGGAGGAGGAGGAGGCGGAGAAGGAGGAGGGGTGAACGGTGGAAAAAAAAGGAAAAAAAAAAAAGGGCTGGAGATCCCGCCTCTGGGGCTGTCAGATTGCAGGACTTTCTTGGATCTGATTGGTTCCAGAAGGGCAAAAATTACTCAGCAAACACGACTATTATTAGCTGCTTAGCAACAGCTCACTAAAGTAGAGAGACCACCCAGGCGGGCAGACCTCATGTGTGCATCTCCGACTTCGGGGGAGGCTCGATCGGAGCCAAACCCGCTCGGCGCGTTTGCTTGTCTTGGGCTTCCACGCAGCGCCCTATCGCCAGAAAGAGGCATTTTCCACTGATGGAGACCCTGAAGTCTAATGTGCGCGGTTTGGGGGGGTGGGGGGGGGGTGCAAAGGAATGTATGAACTGCAATTTGAATCTTTGATGTTTTTTGTCATCTACCACCAGCATGATGGTGTTTGTATTTGAGCGGTTCAACGGGAGGTCAGTAGGAAGTTGTCAGGCGCACTTTAGCGCACTTAACCAGTCTTCATATTGTGCGCTTTGGCATTTGTTCATAAGCAGCAGCAATAGCCGGGATACTCCCGAAAACGTAATTGTTTGAGGATTTAATAATTCACTGTATGGCCACAATGATAAAACCAAAAAGAAAGAGCGTCTCCAAACAGGCTGTATGTCAATCTGTAGACAAACCTCCAGAACAGTCAAACAATCAGTTTTGCACCAAAAAAGTAATACTATTGTTGCCCTTTTGGGTTTTAATACGGGGTCCTCATTCATTCATTCTGTATCACTTTATTGATAAAGCCTGCTATCATGCACTGCTACAACTTGTTAAAATACACACACACACACACACACACACACACACACACACACACACACACACACACACACACACACACACACAAAGCAAATACCAGCTGTTGAGATAATGGTCATTTTGCGTGTGGGGTGTTAAAAGTTGTGACACATGAAATACAGACACAGGCCTCATGCCTACAATGTGGATCGCATTAATATACAATATTGTTTGTATTACATTGTCCGATCACAAACCTATTATACAACTAGCATGATGCAGTAGTGGAATAGACATACTTTTTGTGCTGCAGGTGAATTGCTGAAGACGAGCACTCCAAGGATTTAAAGTTAAAGAAATAGACAATGTGCCAACATTTTCAAAACAACATCTGCTTCCCAAATGTCACTATCTTCAAAAATATTCATGTTGCCTAAGAGAACATTGCATGAAAATCACATCCAAGAACTATGACAGATGAACTTTTCCCTAAAAAAACAAAACAAAACGCTTATTTTAACTAAGACTTTCCCAATGCATGTAAAGATTCTTTTAAAAGCCTGAGCTAATCAAATAAACGTATCGGTAATTAGCCCATGTGGCCTCTATAATTTGTCCCCCGCAGTTCACCCTTTACACTTGAGGCCCTTGGAGCTCAGGAGCGGCTCGTCCGGCTTCCAGCTGCGCACTTACCATCTTCATTCCAGGTGGGGAAAGCTGTCAGAACAAATCCGTAATATCCGCCTCCTGTGGAGACCCAAACGTGTCCGTTATGGTGAATATCAAAATGCCTGCTTTGTTGTTACGAGGAGAGAAAAAAGGCATTGTAATCCTTCTTGGTCTCGTGCATCACGCTCAGCGCCCGACAAAAAAGGTTCACTCTCAATTACGTGGCTGTTTCTTTTTGGCCACATGGGTGGTCCCGTTTGCTCCATAGGCAGGACTCTTTGACTGTCACGTGATTAGGCCAAAACTATAAACACTCCGAACCCAGGCGCTGCAGCATCCCACTTTGTCAGAGAGGAAGGCGGCGCAGAGTTACACCAGAAAGCACGTCGCACACCTGTGCACACACGGGTCCGTACGCGGACGCCACTGTGTACAAATGAGTATACATTCGTTTTACAAACCACTTTGCTTGCTTATGAAAGTGGACAACTATAGCAAAGAGAGACTCAAATGATCCCCTCAATGCCATATTTCAGCAAACCAATACTTTTCTCTCAAACTGTAGGATTCTTTTGGATTGGTTGCAACAATAATATCACAGAGTGAGGGGAAAAAAAGCATCCAAAGGGGGACAAAGTCGGCTGCGATGCCCCCTGATGCTCCTCGACGGAGCCAGGACGGTTTTACAGCCAGCAGGAGTCATAACTGCTGCACCGTAGAACCGATGAAGTTTAATGTCTTGACGGTAACGCTGCAGGACTCCATCAAAGCGCCGTAGGTCCTCGCCGTCCTCCCCTGTGAATACTGTAGCGTGGAGGCTGTAAAGATATGCCAGTAAAATGCTCTGGGAGATTATATTGCAAGCATCTGCGGGAACTAATGAAATACATGTGCACACAAGATGCCAAGACACCTTTGACCAAACATGAACATATTTCCTTTTATATTTTTTTATATTAATTTATTATCATGTGTTAGAATGGATCAGATGGACTCATTGTTTGCTTAACGAATTATGCCAAGCAGTGAGAAATGAGTCTGAATCAGTTTGTTTTCATTTTGTGATCTAACAGACTTCTAGTTGGTAGAGTGCGATGAGTGTCGTGTACAGGAATCAGGAAGTTGTTTTTCCAGCGTTGTTTTTTCCAGCAGTGTTAGTGGACACATTTAACGCATAGAACATCTATCAAAGAGGAATTTTTATATGTCCCCTTTAATATTTTTAATTTATTTTCTTATCTTTTCTTTAGGGCCACCATCAAATCTATTGTCACCATTTATGACAATAGGCAGGTTTTGCATTAAACCTGTGGAGCAAATTGACTATTGACTATTTTGGATTTAATGACCACATGACCGGTCCTCTTCATGAAACTTAAAATTTAAGCTAATTCTTCTAAAAACTGTTAATATTGCAAAATCTATACTAAGTTGTTGATATTCGTTATACACATAATAACAATAATGTTGATCATCATAATGTATTCCAAAAACTACATCAAGAGTCAAACTTACTCTCTGTTGCAGTAATAGTACAAACCATTCAAAGTGAAATAAAAGAAAAGACACCAGGCACCATTATTTTAAAATTAGTAAGCTTCCTGGTTGAGTTATGAATGGAAAGGACGCGGCAGCATTGCTTGGCAGGCATCATAAGGCAAGACAGAGGAGTGGTGCTCGACGAGCAGGCAGCGGAAAGAAAGAGTGAAAGAATGCAAACAAAGCACACCTCTTTATTGAAAACAAATGTACTAGAGATCCCAATTAAGTAAAAATGTCCTCTCTCTCTCTCTCTCTCTCTCTCTCTCTCTCTCTCTCTCTCTCTCTCCCTCTCTCTCTCTCCAAAGGCCAGGGCAATAAGAAAAAAGCGCATGTATAAGCTTTGGAGTGAGGCGCACTCGGTGCTTAAAAGATCCGGTGATGTGTCCCATTCATCGAGAGAGGAAGACTGCCTATGGAGCACATGTGGCTGCAGCTGCACAGTACTAATAGCAAGAAATAAGCATATTCACACTTCACCTAAATGACGGGATGTCGGCTGTATGAGCCTGATTCAGTCAGCCTTCTCCTTCCCTTTGGCCGTCTATGTCGTAAGTCGCGGGGTTCATGGCTCAGAGCCGCCCCAAGACATGACTGGCGTAAAGAAGAGAAGCATTCCTTTCCAACTTTTCAGAATCTGACCTTTCTTTAACGCTGACACAATGTTTTGGCTGTGCACTTCCCCACATCACATTTTCGTGCAACCTTTGTGATAAAATTGGTTCTGAGGGACGTGTAGGAATGTTGCCATGTTCCCCAGAGGTTAGCAATTACTTTGATAAGTACAATATTATAAAAAATAACAGAAATTATAACACATTTGACCCAAGTTGTATCGTGTTTTATCTCTATGTTCACTAAAAAATACAGAATACCTCCACAATATCTCTCCTCGGAATCCCCATGCTGGTACAATTTCCCAAATTTTTGACAAGTCATAAATCTATTTCCTCTTCCTCCATCTTGACCCACTTGCCGGCTCCCCCCTGGTCCATCATGGCGGCCTGTGAAGCAGTGCGGCTTGAATGCGCGTCAAGAGCACGTTGGAATGTTTATGCTTGAGCTCAAGGTTGTCTTCAATCATACACAGAGCTGTTTGACAGCTCGCAGCGCCGCCTGGCCTCTGTTTACCTCACCTAATTTCCGACTGGCTTTGTGTGCATCAAGCGGCAACACAGCGAGATGGGAGCGAAATCATCATGATTTGATACAGAAAATGCTAGTGTTTGACCGGTTTGAACAGTAACAGTAAACTCTCTAAAGAAAAGAAAAAAAGCAGCTCCAGTTCATTTAAAAAACATGTTTGAAATAGTTCAAGTGGATATAGAACTTCTTGTGGTTCTATGATATAGTAAGATGAGTTTGCACGGTATTCAAACAATAAAAGGGTTTAATCTGTCCTGTCCTTGTCTGTGTTTGATTCTCTATATAGTAACATATTTTAATCCATGGTGTGTCTGACACCCACACGTCATGGTCATGTTTGACTAAAACAGAGAAGAAAAGTGTGCCTGGCAGAGAGAGAGTGAGCATCAAAGAAAAATCTCAGATGAACATTCATTTTGATTTGAGGGCATTTAGGTGCATTTAAGTTCTGTCGGCCTCAATTGGGCGACAGAATCCACTTCGCTGTTTGGACGATATTTACTTTGAGATCCGGGACAGACAATGATGGAGCAGGTCTGATATTTAGACAAGGAAGCAGTCTGTTCTGCAGAACTGGCCTGAGAAGCTGTAATTTTGGGAAGCCAGTTCAGCCTCCAATGTTAACAGGAAACGTGTGCTGCTCTGAATGTATACAAGCGGCCTCAACAAATAAGCGGTATATTACAGTATCAACGCTGTGGCTCCAGAGAGAGTCATGGTTTCAAAAGAAAGAAGGAAAGAGCGGCAACCTTAAATAGGAAGAGGGGGAGCAATCAAGCAGCTGGAACTAGTCTCTCAGCATAATAAAAAATGATGTAAAGAAATGCAAGGAAACTTTGACTCAGACTCTCGCTCACTCACAAATATATTTGTTATACATTCTCACATCTGCAGCCATGCACATTTTGACACATTCACCTTGGCAGAAGGTGTTCTTGCTTCCACTCGGGCTTAGGCGGTTCTCTGTGGGAGGCCCGAATGGAAAAAGTGACACATTCAAACGTAAGAACCTCATAAGCTGTCCAGACCTCTGTTTACTCACCCGGGCCTCCTGTTCAGCTTAGAGCACCAGGAGCTGTTACCTTTCTCAATGGAATTCAAGCTCGTAAACGAGCAGCATCAACCTCCATTACGATAAATTAGCACAGAGCATGAAGCACACAGTTGGGTTCCTTAATGAATCTACTAAATACCTCCCACATAATACTAATGTTCGAAATGAGATGTGCCTAACAGCATAATAGACTAGTTACAGGATTATGTGTTTAATAGTTTCTCTGCAGAACACGAGGTACACTTAGAAATGTAAATCCCAACCCTTGTGGTGCTTAACAGAGATGAAGTGTTAGCGTATGTAAAATGATGTCAAGGGGATATATTTACAGTAACTACCTTTTAAAATATAACCAAGTTATTGTTATTACATCAACATAGTCCACACATTTCAACATAATTACTGACATGAACGCCCTTGGAGATTGCGAACGTCTAACTGTTATGCTATTTGCTTCAATCTGTATGTTTGGGCGTCCTGACAGACTGAGGAGTATTCTGGCACATTGAGCTTTTGCGCAGCCAAAGTGGACTCCTGATTGTTTTGACCATTTCAAGGACTCGACTTGGAACTTGAATCCGTTTTTATTAATTGGTGCTCCCAGGTTGAAATGGAGATGCAACATGGGAACAGTCACTTTCACGGTCAGCAATCTCAAAAAAGAAAGGAATGAAAACGTGGAAGAGAGACGAGAGAGACAGATGGTGAGAGAACAAAAGGTTTTATTATTTCAGGATCACTGTTGGAGATGAAGTGAAGACCTGCAGCGTGTGTGCTGACAGCACCTGCAGCACAACCACTGTGACTGCATTGCCTCTCATGTGGCTCGTCAATGCACCCTCACAGCCATCATCTGCTTGTTCTTCCAACAGTGCCATGAGGTCATAGGCTTAAGTGGCCAATTAGCCCCAGCACTGTTAAATCCAGGCCATCTCCAGAGAAAGCAAGAGCAAGGGATGAGGAGGGGAATTTATTGCTGCTCTGCAGGACGTCTGTGAATAGAGGATTGTGAAAGCTGTCCGCCACATGCCTGTCATCTTACCCTAACACCTGCAGGTCTGTGAGTGAGTTTCTCACTGGTGTCTGTGGCCGTCTGCTCTGTTTTGGTTGAACGTCTGGTGGGCTTACTGTGAGGTCTGACTGGAACAGGGAGGGAAATAGCTGTCATAATTACCCAGGCTTGTGTCTTTCAGCTAAAATCCCAGTCTCCCGATCACGTCCACCTACAATCTTCTTGTGTAATTCATGTGTATTGGTCAAGATGTCGGCACACTCCCCTCTGGCTGTCTCTCTGTTCAGCATTGTTATTGGTGAATATCCAACTGTAATCGCTGCTGAATAAAAACTATGCATGAAGCCACAAGAGGATGTGCAGCAACGTGCGAATGAATGTAGGAAAACGTGATAAAATTAGATTAAAGGAGGATTCCAGTGGTGAAAGAAAAGAGTATATATGGAGAAAGAAAGAGACCTGACTTGACATTTCCAAAAGGAGGGGATTAACGCAAACAAGCTAGATGTGATTGAGGAGCATTCATTGGCTGCAGTTTAATTATTGCTTTGACTTTCCATCGACTGCCAAGGACTGTTGTGTATACACTGAATGACGGCTTATTTGAATCCACAGATAAGCTTCACAGAGGAGGTGCTAGTTCAAAATTCTTGGCAATGCTCAGAAATGCATCCGCTCAATTCAAAAGCGGCATTGTTTGGCTTTGCCGTGGCGATCTCAAGTCTGATGTAATTGGTGCTCTGTGCGTGTCCGTCGCTGACATCTCATGAAATGCAGGAAAAATAATGAGAGGAGACTCATTACGAGTTGAGGGAGGAGAGGTTTTACCCCGAAGAATTCAGTCATTAGCTGTAATATGCAATGATGCAGTTGGAATTGGTTCCAGAGTTGATATAACACAGGCACACTAACAGTGTTTGTAGGTCTGGGTCCGCACACGTCCATCTGTTCTCCCACCACCGTGCTGGTGTGTAGCACTGCAATGTCAAACAATCCGAAACAAAGTTAGCACGTGTTTGTATACAGATCGACTATTTTGGTTTTATCTTCAAATGACAGAGAACGCGGCCCTAAATACATGTTAGGAGCTTTCCATGGTTCATCCAAAAAATAGACGCTATAGCATTTATCTATTTATGACATTGTATCATAACATTGTTATTGAAAACCCAACATCCTGTGGAGCCCCCCTGATCCTGATATACAAAGAAACGGAACAATATCTTGGAAATACTTATAGTAAATAAGCTGATTTCATCGGTGCTTTCGACATTTCTGCTGATGTGCTGGATCAAAAAAACAAGAAAAAAGACAGGGTGTGTTGATTAAACAGAACTTTGTTTGTATCCGTTGTGACGATGTAACTGCACAAGCTTCTTTAGACTGTACATATCGGATTTCAAGAGCTTGAATCAGATCAGACAAAAACCGGGGTAAGTATGTAGAAAATATAACATAATACCATTTTGGGCCTTTGCCCGTTTAAATAGATCACATGATCTTCATGAGCAGATACAATTCTCTATAGTTATTTTTTCTATTTAGTAGGTGTTCTGGAGCTATAAATGATATCATGTGATCTTCAAATGCAATCGTATCATGTGATCGTCTTCTATCTGTGATTTAAGAGTAATTCCAAATTGTTTCATAGTATGTATAATGTTGGTGAGATGACTCCCTGCCGGGGATCCCCCCATACTAAAAATAATTCAGGTTTGTTTTTATATTTAAATTAAAGCACGAGGGCAATGGTTTGGAACAGGCAGTCAGTAATCTTCGCTTCTCCTCAGAGAGTTGCGGGTGGGTGGCTGGGGGGGGGTGGAGTTGATCCGGCATCGGGCGGAGAGACGGGATACACCCTGCACTGGTCGCCAGGCAATCGCAGCGCTGACACAGAGACAGACAACCGTTTAGTAAAGAACTGGCAAGGTCGTGCTCTGCTCTTAAATTGTGGGGTGGGGCAGAGCTGTAAAGCAAGATGATGGGTCAATTATCATGAAAGAGAACATTTCCTCCGTTGCCAAAGCTCAACAAGTCCTCACTGGCAGTCCCTCACACGAAGTCACACAACTGTACAAAGACACACGTGCAACCAAAACACAGGTCGGGCACATCCACTCAGAGGATGGGTTCTTCCCGTAACGAGCGTGACATCTGAATGGAGGAAGTGCCCTCACTCTGTCATTGTTTTGAGCGGTCATTCCAAAAGAGGTCAAGCGTGACTTAAAAGGAAACCTAAGAAGGTCCAATCACGCTCACAGACCCTTTTTCTGGTGCACCCCAGGACACACACACGCACGATATATAGAAGGATGATCAAAAGTGCCCTTGCGGACATGGACAGAAAATCAAAACATGTTTACAGACACACACACACACACACACACCACAAAATTGGTCGAACAAATACACTAGTCACTCAAATTGTCCAACACTGACACTGCTCAGAGACTGGCGTCGTACATATTTCACAACACACACACTCTGACTCCCCTGTGACTCCCCTGACCTTTGACCTGAAGTGAAGGGGGTCGTTGTCTGATGGTGCGGGTTCATTCCCTGTGTGTGAGGTCATTTCCTGCCACAGTGACTGTGAGGGGCAAAAGGGGCTGTATTGGTTGACCTCAAGAGAGGGCAGGGTGGGCGGAACACATGGGGGTGCTGATCGTATGGGACGTAACCCAGCAGGGCAACACAATATTGGGTGCGAAATATGTTCCAAAAACGTTCCAAAAGGGCCGAGGTCCTAGTTGTAACTATTTGCAGGCTTAAATGTACAGGTACTGGTTCCAGTAAGATCCATGGTAACGCCACCTACCCTTTTAGACGAAAGCGTCATTTGAGTATTGCTGAAACCTGGACCCGGATCTAGTCTCAGGTGGGATGTGCTGTGTACCACATCAGCTCAAGTCCTTAAGGCTTCTAGATTAAAGTTCGGGAGACTTTCACAGACTTTTGTTGGATTCTTGGTGGAACCGTCCGAGAGGCAGATTTGACTTTGAACCCAAAAGGGCTCTACTGGATAAAAAATAGCAGATCCCTATTTAGTTACTGTATTTATTCATGTTAGTGATTACTTTATTATATTCTGTTGGAGCCTCTTGGCCAGATTTCTAATCGTTTAACTTTCAGGGTATCAATGTATTTGACATTGAGTACAACAAATAGATACTTCATAGAAGACAGA